AGACGGCCGCATTCACGTTAAATAGGGCACCATCTAAATCCATTGAGATGACGCCTTATGAACTATGGTTTGGCAAGAAACCAAAGTTGTCGTTTCTTAAAGTTTGGGGCTGCGATGCTTATGTGAAAAAACTTCAACCTGATAAGCTCGAACCCAAATCGGAGAAATATGTCTTCATAGGATACCCAAAGGAGACTGTTGGGTACACCTTCTATCACAGATCCGAAGGCAAGACATTCGTTGCTAAGAATGGATCCTTTCTAGAGAAGGAGTTTCTCTTGAAAGAAGTGAGTGGGAGGAAAGTAGAACTTGATGAGGTAACTGTACCTGCTCCCTTATTGGAAAGTAGTTCATCACAGAAACCGGTTTCTGCGGTACCTACACCAATTAGTGAGGAATTTAATGATGGTGATCATAAAATTTCAGATCAAGTTACTACTGAGCCTCGTAGATCAACCAGAGTAAGATCCGCACCAGAGTGGTACGGTAATCTTGTTCTGGAAGCCATGCTACTAGATCATGATGAACCTACAAACTATGAAGAAGCGATGGTGAGCCTAGATTCCGCAAAATGGCTTGAAGCCATGAAATCTGAGATGGGATCCATGTATGAGAACAAAGTATGGACTTTGGTTGACTTGCCCGATGATCGGCAAGCAATTGAGAATAAATGGATTTTCAAGAAGAAGACTGACGCTGACGGTAATATTACTGTCTACAAAGCTCGACTTGTCGCAAAAGGGTTTCGGCAAGTTCAAGGGGTTGACTACGATGAGACCTTCTCACCCGTAGCGATGCTTAAGTCTGTCCGAATCATGTTAGCAATTGCCGCATTTTATGATTATGAAATTTGGCAGATGGATGTAAAAACTGCATTCCTGAATGGATTTCTGGAAGAAGAGTTGTATATGATGCAACCGGAAGATTTTGTCGATCCAAAGAGATCTAACAAAGTGTGCAAGCGCCAGCGATCCATTTATGGACTGGTGCAAGCCTCTCGGAGTTGGAATAAACACTTTGATAGTGTGATCAAAGCATTTGGTTTTATACAGACTTTCGGAGAAGCCTGTATTTACAAGAAAGTGAGTGGGAGCTCTGTAGCATTTCTGATATTGTATGTGGATGACATATTACTGATTGGAAATGATATAGAATTTCTAGATAGCATAAATGGATACTTGAATAAGAGTTTTTCAATGGAAGACCTCGGTGAAGCTGCTTACATATTGGGAATTAAGATCTATAGAGATAGATCAAGACGCTTAATTGGACTTTCACAAAGCACATACCTTGACAAAGTTTTGAAGAAGTTCAAAATGGATCAAGCAAAGAAAGGATTCTTGCCTGTGTTACAAGGTGTGAAGTTGAGTAAGACTCAATGCCCAACCACGGCAGAAGATAGAGAGAAAATGAAAGATGTTCCTTATGCTTCAGCCATAGGCTTTATCATGTATGCAATGCTGTGTACCAGACCTGATGTGTGCCTTGCTATAAGTTTAGCAGGGAGGTACCAAAGTAATCCAGGAGTGGATCACTGGTCAGCGGTCAAGAACATCCTGAAGTACCTAAAAAGGACTAAGGATATGTTTCTCATATATGGAGGTGACAAAGAGCTCATCGTAAACGGTTACGTTGATGCAAGCTTTGACACTGATCCGGACGATTCTAAATCGCAAACCGGATACGTGTTTACATTAAACGGTGGAGCTGTCAGTTGGTGCAGTTCTAAACAAAGCGTCGTGGCGGGATCTACATGTGAAGCGGAGTACATAGCTGCTTCGGAAGCAGCAAACGAAGGAGTCTGGATGAAGGAGTTCATATCCGATCTAGGTGTCATACCTAGTGCATCGGGTCCAATGAAAATCTTTTGTGACAATACTGGTGCAATTGCCTTGGCAAAGGAATCCAGATTTCACAAAAGAACCAAACACATCAAGAGACGCTTCAATTCCATCCGGGATCTAGTCTAGGTGGGAGACATAGAAATTTGCAAGATACATACGGATCTGAATGTAGCAGACCCGTTGACTAAGCCTCTTCCACGAGCAAAACATGATCAGCACCAAGGCTCCATGGGTGTTAGAATCATTACTGTGTAATCTAGATTATTGACTCTAGTGCAAGTGGGAGACTGAAGGAAATATGCCCTAGAGGCAATAATAAAGTTATTATTTATTTCCTTATATCATGATAAATGTCTATTATTCATGCTAGAATTGTATTAACCGGAAACATAATACATGTGTGAATACATAGACAAACAGAGTGTCACTAGTATGCCTCTACTTGACTAGCTCGTTAATCAAAGATGGTTATGTTTCCTAACCATGAACAAAGAGTTGTTATTTGATTAACGGGATCACATCATTAGTTGAATGATCTGATTGACATGACCCATTCCATTAGCTTAGCACCCGATCATTTAGTATGTTGCTATTGCTTTCTTCATGACTTATACATGTTCCTATGACTATGAGATTATGCAACTCCCGTTTACCGGAGGAACACTTTGTGTGCTACCAAACATCACAACATAACTGGGTGATTATAAAGGAGCTCTACAGGTGTCTCCAAAGGTACATGTTGGGTTGGCGTATTTCGAGATTAGGATTTGTCACTCCGTCTGACGGAGAGGTATCTCTGGGCCCTCTCGGTAATACACATCACATAAGCCTTGCAAGCATTGCAACTAATGTGTTAGTTGTGAGATGATGTATTACGGAATGAGTAAAGAGACTTGTCGGTAACGAGATTGAACTAGGTATTGGATACCGACGATCGAATCTCGGGCAAGTAACATACCGATGACAAAGGGAACAATGTATGTAGTTATGCGGTCTGACCGATAAAGATCTTCGTAGAATATGTAGGAGCTAATATGGGCATCCAGGTCCCGCTATTGGTTATTGACTGGAGACGTGTCTCGGTCATGTCTACATTGTTCTCGAACCGTAGGGTCCGCACGCTTAAAGTTACGATGATAGTTTCATTATGAGTTTATGTATTTTGATGTACCGAAGGTTTTTCGGAGTCCCGGATATGATCACGGACATAACGAGGAGTCTCGAAATGGTCGAGACATAAAGATTGATATATTGGACGGCTATATTCGGACACCGGAAGTGTTCCGGGGAAGTTTCGGATAAAACCGGAGAACCGGGGGGTTACCGGAACCCCCCGGGGGGTTAATGGGCCTCATGGGCCTAAAGTGGAGAAGAGGAAAGGCAGCCAGGGCAGGCCGCGCGCCCCCTATCCCCCTAGTACGAATTGGACAAGGAGGGAGGGGCGGCGCCCCCCCTTTCCTTCCTCTCCTCTCTCCCTTCCTTCCCCCTCTCCTACTTGGACAAGGAAAGGGAGGGGAGTCCTACTCCCGGTAGGAGTAGGACTCCTCCTGCGCGCCTCCTACTAGGGCCGGCCGCACCCCCCCTTGGCTCCTTTATATACGGGGGCAGGGGGGCACCCTAGGACACACAAGTTGATCTTTGTGATCGTTCCTTAGCCGTGTGCGGTGCCCCCTCCACGATATTACACCTCGATCATATTGTAGCGGTGCTTAGGCGAAGCCCTGCGATAGTTAAACATCAAGATCGTCACCACGCCGTCGTGCTGACGAAACTCCTGCCCGAAGCTTTGCTGGATCGGAGCCCGGGGTGCGTCATCGAGCTGTACGTGTGTCAAGAACTTGGAGGTGCCGGAGTAACGGTGCTTGGATCGGTTGGACCGGGAAGACGTACGACTACTTCCTCTACGTTGCGTCAACGCTTCCGCTTCGGTCTACGAGGGTACGTAGACAACACTCTCCCCTCTCATTGCTATGCATCACCATGATCTTGCGTGTGCGTAGGAATTTTTTTTAAATTACTACGTTCCCCAACAGTATTTTCCATTCAATTTTTATGGAAGATCAAGATCTTTCTTTGGTTAACTGTGCACTAACCGGCCAAAAAGAGGGTGGATTGGGAGCACAAAATATGTTGAGTTAATCTACCCAAAAAGAGGGTGGATCGAGGGTTGATCATTTATTTTGTCACTACTCTGTGGCCAAATTTATATTGAGTCTCTTATAGTGGACTTTGAGTGTACCTTCTATTGTTGTTCATGTTAAAAATGTTTTTTTCCATTTGGCTTCCTCAATTTGGGAAGGAAAAAAAGATGAAGCTCTATGTGGGCATTTCTGCACTGCTATGGTATCAAGACCTGTAGAAGTGTTGTATTGCTTTGCCCGCAAGAGGATGCATGCTTGGTCCTTTTGTGATTCTTCATAAATTTTTCTCTTACAAGTTCTTGGTCAATATTGCAGAAAAACAGGAAGATCAAAGGGAGTTGATGTGGGGGTAAAACTTCTAGAACGGTGGCAAGTGAGGCGTTCAATACTTTTCGCATGGATGGCGCCCTGGAGTCATGCGGATTACTAGCGGCTAATGGATGAGAAATGAAGATGTTCTGCTGGCACCACTCTCTGATAGTTTGATCAACTTCATTCTATCCTCTTTTGAAGGACCAAAGAGCAAAAGGCGGTGCAGCAAGTCAAAGTCAGAACTCGGAGGTGATAGAGCCCTCTCTCTCAGACGCACACACGGTCAGGCAGCGGCTGCTTGGCTCGCTGGTGATCAGGGCTTGGGTTCTATGGCCCTCGTGGATCCACAAATCCCCCTTTCTCCTCCTCCGCAAGCCTTCCTCCATATTTTAAAACCTCCCTCCCACCACCACTCCCCCACCGGAGCGGAGCAGCAGCAGCCATCCAACTCCTCCCCCTTTCTTCTCCACGCAAGCGCAAAAGAGACTTCGTCACCAAATTGGGCAAGATTCTCTCTTTCCCGCACGCAACCAATCGCCAGCCAGCCAGCATCACTCGTCCTGCCGCGGCCGCTGTGCAACCAAGGATTTTTCTGCCGTCCGTGCTTCTTGGGGGCTCCGAGCGCGCGCGCGAGCTAGCCTGCGTCGTCGTTGGTGTCTAGGTTCTTGGATTGGCGGGCGAGCGAGCGAGCTTGCTTGCCGAGATGCTGTCTGTGAGCTCGCCGAGGGTGCACATGAGCCGGAACGTCGTGGATTTGGGCCTGCTGGCCGCCTGCCGCTGCCGCCGCTGGGCCGCGCGCCCGGCGCCCAGGCGGCGCGCGCCATGTGTTTGTTTCGTGGCCGCACCCAGCCAGACAGGTTTGTGTGTCTCTCTTACTACCATGCCTTACCTTATCTCTGCTGGTTGGTTCAGAGACGTTCGGTACAACACACTACGCAGCACACGTCCTGCCTGTAGTACCACCGTTGCTTGGAGTGAAGCTGACCTATTAAAATTCTTCTATGTAGGTCTTGCGGCGATCGACGTGCCGGCGGCAGAGACCATTGCCAGCGCGGCGGCCGGGACGGCGAGGCTCCCCGAGCGCGTGTCCATCGCTTCGCTCTTGGATGTCGTCTCGGATGACCTGCTCAAGCTCAACAACAACCTCAAATCGGTGAGCGCCTTCTCCAGGTCACATTCTCTTTGGTCTTTGCTAAGCTCACTCAAAATTAAAATTGCTTTGGAGAAGAAGATGCACCCCTGTGTTGTGTAGGCTGTAGACGTATGAATGACTAGTTTCCTTCTTCAGACTCTGTTTGATAGAAGCTCTCATTGCTCATGTTATGAAACTGCTTAGGAGGTTCCTCTGAAATACGTTCCGCCCGTCTTATTCGCACGCTATTTTACTAGCCAGGATTTCCTTGGTCCTGAAATCGATTACAGTTCCTTATACCGTGTGGAAAACAATGTGAATTCAGAACACCTGCAAGTTCAGTCCAAATAATGTATACCAGCAAACCAAAAGGTGGAAAGGCCACGGTTTGAAGGAGATTCTGCTGGGTTTCTAGGTGTATGGTTTCAACTTTGAAGTGTGAAGGAGATTCTGCTGGGTTTCTAGGTGTATGGTTTCAACTTTGAAGTGTGTGCTGTTTGTTTTCCTACTTCAATCTCGGATTGGGAAGGAGCTGTGTTTCAACCCAGCTTTGGATAGTGTTAATTTTGATTAGTAAACTAATGGCACGACAGTCTTAATTGCTACATACTTACTTCCCTACAATAGACCATGGATAATGACGGATAGTACATCAGTGGATTGAAAATCATGCAGTAGCTACTATGCTTTCATGAATTATTCCAAGTTCATAAAATTTAATGGGACATATACCGTTGGGCCCAAAAGAAAGAAAAATAAGATGTCATAGTTTGCTGTGCACAAGTGTGCATCGGTTTAACTGTTCTTTAGAAGGGGATTGCACATAATCCACATGACTACAGTCTACAGACATGACTAAAGACAGAGACAGCTTCCTACTTGTGCACGCCTTTCAACTTGTCCAGATTCTAATCATGTAATGGCCCATATTTGATGGCTTGGAGCTGTGAGTAGTTGGCCTTTTCTGAATAGGCAATCTCTGTTTGCGTAATCAAGACAAGAAACTTCAGAGCACATATCAAATAGATATAACACACATATCTAACTAGTTTTCAACATAAGATTTTTCTAGACTAGTTCCTGTTGAGTTCGTGTTTTCCACAGTAACTACTTAAGTAGCTGACACGACCTCAATAGCTTATTGGTGCAGAAAACCCAGTTTTAGTATCTGCCGCAGAACAAATTTTTGGTGCTGGTGGGAAGAGATTAAGACCAGCATTGGTTTTCCTGGTGTCCAGAGCAACAGCAGAAGTAGCTGGCTTGTCGTAAGTTCCTCTTCTTGTTGCAGCCTTGGAATTTCCAATATTTTTTGTTTTCATGCACTCAGAGTCTCAGACCTTTTACCATTTTGCATTGCAGGGAGCTAACTACAGAACATAAACGTTTGGCTGAGATCATAGAAATGATTCACACTGCGAGTTTAATACATGATGATGTCATAGATGATAGTGGGATGCGCAGAGGTATAACGAAAACCGTTCTTTATTCATCATACTGGACACAGTTTAATGAGGGGATCGATAAATTGAAAATTTTGTTCTAAACTAATTTGATTATTTGCAGGGAAAGAAACCATTCATCAGCTATATGGAACACGGATAGCGGTGCTTGCTGGTGATTTTATGTTTGCACAATCTTCTTGGTTTCTGGCAAACTTGGAAAACATTGAGGTTATAAAGCTCATCAGCCAGGTACTGAAGGATTCAGTAAACCTCATCCTCTTCTTGTAAAACCGTATATAAGACTTCTATATAACCATTGGTGTGCTCACAGGTGATCAAGGACTTTGCTAGTGGTGAGATTAAACAGCAGTCGACCCTTTTCGACTGCGACGTCACCCTGGACGACTACCTGCTCAAGAGCTACTACAAGACTGCCTCCCTGCTCGCTTCAAGCACGAGGTCTGCGGCCATATTCAGCGGGGTGAGCACCGCCGTATGCGAGCAGATGTACGAGTACGGCAGGAACCTGGGGCTGTCGTTCCAGGTGGTGGACGACATCCTCGACTTCACGCAGTCGGCGGAGCAGCTGGGCAAGCCGGCGGGGAGCGACCTGGCCAAGGGGAACCTGACGGCCCCGGTCATCTTCGCGCTGCAGGAGTCGCCAGAGCTGAGGGAGATCATCGACTCGGAGTTCTGCGACACGGGCTCGCTGTCGGCGGCCATGGAGCTGGTGCACAGGAGCGGCGGTATCCGGCGGGCGCAGGAGCTGGCCAAGGAGAAGGGCGACCTGGCGCTCCAGAACCTGCAGTGCCTCCCCAGGAGCCATTTCAGGACTGCACTTGAGAACATGGTGAAGTACAACCTTGAGAGGATCGACTAGATGGATGGACGGATCATTCACCTGGTCTGTCTGAAGATGAGATACAACCTGCAGGCGGGCCCAGATTAGCTTGTACTGAAATCCTGCTTGCCAGTATCATGTCGATTTCTTGGAGATGGTCGGTGCGACAACGTCAGAAAAACGTCGTCTATTTTTGCATATCGTGTAAGTGCAAGGTAAATATATTCACTGTATATGCGAAAGATGGAGCTGTTCTTTTAATTAGTAGTATAACATAAGATAGCAGTAGTTATTTTTTTCCTTGGGATGAAAAAGAAAAACATGTAATTCCGTTTATTTACAGTCGGAAGTATGAACATGAGTTAACATGCCCTGTAAAACCTAGCGTGCGCCATTCTGGACCGTTGAGATGTTTGCCTGAAAGACAACTTTTTATTAGTATCTCTTTACACTCGTATGGTTCAGAAGTGAAGTAGTAGCAGTAGATGCCGGGGCGGGCCGTTGGGTTGGGTTGGGTTGGATGGATCCAGCTGAGCGGAAACGAAGGGACATGGCGCACGTTATCGTCGGTGGCCGCACCTTCTCCTTCCTTTCCACTTCTTCCAATAATTAAATGCTCTTTTATTTTTTACTTTAAAAAATAACAAGTGGCACTTTTTTTTGCCTCGCAGAACAAAGCAAAACAAAGGAAGAATACTCGTGAATGTATTATAAAGCGGTCGCCAGGATAGGATACTCCCGTCCCGTTCCAAGTAGGCGTATTCTATTATTATTACTCCTAAGTAGAGCATTATTTTATTTAGTTTTCCCCATTGCTTCTCCGTCGGTGGCTCCCAATTAATCAGTAAAGTAATCGGCTGATTAACCACCGGTACGGTATTTTTTTTTCTAAGAAAACTTTTGATCTATTTATCTTTAACTATGGCAATACGACAAAAAAAAAACATTCAGATGCATAAATCGTTTAGCCGACGACTACAAGCATTGCAGCGAGCCGAAGACATGCCGTTGTCATGGACCCTCCATCGCCATCGCTGATACTAGCACGAGGGAAGTAAAATGGATGCATCTACTACGAGTATCCACTCATTCATTTAGATTCTCCTAACACGTGGAGCTGTCATACTGTACGCAGTACAATTGTAGGGAATCATTGAAGAAGAGGGACTGGGTTCGGTTGGGTAGTAGACTTATTATTATTAGATAGTAGATGGATTCATTCATCTCCTCCACGTGACGGTGCAGGCAGATGAACGTGATGATGTTCTTTTATTTACATTACACACCACGGCAGGAAGGAAGGAAGGCAGATGCTACGTGCCGTCTGATCCGATCCTGATGGTAAGTCAAAGCCGTGTGTGTGTGGCTTTCAAGGTTATTGTAGCTGGCGTTTCAATTCCGTCACGCGCGCCACGGACGCCCGCCCGCCACCTAATTCTGCAACTGCACCGACCCGAGAGAAGGATGGTCACAGGAGACCTACCCCCAAACCTACCTCAAGCAACTCTGGCTTGCTCATTTTCTTCTTCCTTCTTTAAAAAATGTGTATGTTAACTAAGGTAAAACATTCCACTACAATCATTACCATCACACACGGGCAGGCTTTTTTAGCATTTTGAAATTCGAAACCTGTAGGGCACCCTCCAACCCTCCTCGGTTCAACTAAATGAACCAAGTTTTCAGAATTTCCGACCAAAATTGAACTAAGGTGGTCAGAGGGTTACCTTGTACGCAGTCGTCGCTAGATGATCTATGAATCTTGATGTAATTTTTATTATTTCTGATGGCCGCTGTACTATCACGACTGAAGATGAATAAATCGAAAGTTTCCTGCAATTTTTTTTTTAACTAAGGAGGTCAGAGGGATACCCCTATAGGTTCCAAATTTGCATCCCTAGGCTTCGTCATGCAGGAGGGTACCGCACCGCGTTACACCATCACTTTGTGCATCGAGCTGCATGATCTAGGCTGCTTCACTAGCGCCACGGGGAACCTTCCGAGCTCTCTCTCTGGAGTTTGGGAATTGTTGAAGCAACAACTGGGTACATGTACATGTAATGTCGAATGGTGACTTAGTTGTTCAAAATGTATGACAAATGGAATTGACAAATGCCAAGCGTCCGGTTTAGGGAAAGGATGGATGAGGTGACAAGGCTTGTCAAGATCCGCGTATTTACACCCGCCCATTTGTTGTATGAAGCGCGTGCCAGAACGATGATGAGCACGTGCACGTATGGTTTTCCTTGTACTTGAAGATCGCTATGCGAGCTAGATTATGTATGACCCGAGAGCACACACAGAGCCAGGAATCTTTTGCAAGGGGGTCATAGAGTAGAAGAGGTAAAATGTTGGAAAGGGGCTAAACATGTAGACCTAGAACATTTGTGCTAACAATATAGGGTTCTTTCTAGAAAAAAAAACAATTAGCATGGGGGGAGCCATGGCCCTGACCCATGCACCCCTGGCTCCGTCACTGCCCGAGAGAGCAATTGAACTACAAAGTGCTATACTACTGATCAGAGAAAATGTTGGACCCCTAAGGAGGTAGAAGCGGGGATTCGATATCACCTGCAGATATCCATGCCATTGTTATTCACAATGGCCAATGCGAAGTTCCAACCATTGCAAGGCTTTAGGCATTTATTTCCAAGGTTCCAATCTTTGTTACGAGTAGAGAATATAATAAAATGCCCCATGAGTCTGCAGCATTAGATTGGAGTGTAATAGAGTGCACATAACGATACGACAAACAACGCAGCCCCTACCCTCCGCCCGCCCCCTTTCCCCGCTAAACGACTGTAATGATTCTATGTTCTCCATAGAGCCCTCTCGTTGGTGAAATTCCGGTGATACCTTTCGCCAGTCTTCTTTTCTTATAACTTACTAATAATATTATTATGTAATAATGAAGTTTTATCCCCTTGGTTGATTTAAAATTCAGACCACCAGTAGATGAGCGGTGGATAAAGCAGAGATGCGGATCGGGCGGCGCAGAGCCGTCCAACGAGCATCGCACCGGCAGCGCCACCAGCAGCCGCAGGCCGCAGCCCATGGCATGTGGCCCAGAGGCAACGCGCACGCATCTCTCTCTCTCTCCCGATTAAAACCAACAACAACAACGGCAAGTCGGCAGACATCACAAAGAAGAGAAAGAAATCTACCTCCCCTCCCCTCCGGCATCCCGCTCCCCTTCCCTTCTCCGGCGCGCCGCCAGATCGGGCCAGAAGAGTCCGTCCGGCACCCTGGGCCCGGCATCGGCCGCCGCGGCATACGTGTGAGTTCGGCGGGCGGCTCGGCCGACCGACCGGGAGGCGGGGGGTCCGGCGCCGCGGGAGGGCAGGGGTCCGGCTTCCGGAGCGGCCTTGGAGCGCAGATCGGCCCGCCCGGCAAGCGGCAATGCAGCAGGCGCAGCGGACCAAGGTGGGTTCCGACTCCCCCTCCTCCTGCGTCTGTCTTGTAGACATGATTTGATTTGTGCCTGTTCTTGCGGCGTCGATGCCTGCTGCTCGTCTCGGTTCCAGGACGACGCAGGCGAGCCGGCGTATTTTTGAATCCTCGCTGCCGTCTTTTCAAATTCAAACCTCTTTGACAGATTCTTCGCTACTTTTGTTGTGATTTCGGTGCTGCCAACCCTTCCTTTAGCCGAAATCTTTGATCTGTATTTCTGTCAGTAGAAAAATAGTCAAATGCCGTCGGTTCCATTCCAGTACGGCGACACCGCGTGATGGGTTACAGACAGCTCACGCCTCGCATGGGAAAGTTGACCGCCTCCTTGCCGCTTCCTGAATCCAGATGCCTTCTGTGCCAAACGCTAGACGAAATCCGCAAGATGCCGCTTTTCCCCTGCCGCCTGTGGGTGGCGCGCAGAGCTTCTCCATTTTAATCCTTGTTGGAGTCCTCGCAGATGCCCACCAGCAAGCAACCTGCGTTCAGTGGCAGAAAAAGTTTTAAACTGTTTGATTGCTTGCTGGTGCTTTGGCTTTTCTTAATGCCTGGTTCTGTTGCAATGTGGCCACTCCAAATCTCTGTCGGTCTCCAATGATTTTCTCCAACCCCCACCACACCACTCATTGTGCCGTCTCAGTTCCCCACATCAACCGTTTAAAGTTCTCTCTGTTTTAACAGTTGGGTTTTGACAGTTTGCTGATTCGGTGTTTTCCAGAGTTCGGCGGAGGTGGACTTCTTCACGGAGTACGGCGACGCCAACCGGTACAAGATCCAGGAGGTCATTGGCAAGGGGAGCTATGGGGTTGTGTGCTCTGCCCTTGATCTGCAGACCAGGCAGAAAGTGGCCATCAAGAAGATACACAATATTTTCGAGCATACCTCCGACGCCGCGCGGATTCTCCGTGAGATCAAGCTTCTGAGGCTCTTGCGGCATCCCGACGTCGTCGAGATCAAGCACATTATGTTGCCTCCCTCCAGAAAGGACTTCAAAGACATTTATGTTGTTTTTGAGCTCATGGAGTCTGATCTCCACCAAGTTATTAAGGCCAACGATGACTTGACAAAAGAGCATTACCAGTTCTTTCTCTACCAGCTACTCCGAGCCCTCAAATACATTCATACTGGTAAGAAATCGTTGCCTTCAAGTCTACTGTTGTTGCTTGGAAAACAATGTTTTACCATGAAGGTGGTGTGTGTTTTAGTTTACAATCATG